AGAAAACAGCAGAGCTAGGAGGATCTCCTGAAAGTGAGTGTCATTGGAAAGGAGTCAAAGAGAAAGATTATGATCTTTCTGGTTTGGTCACCTGAGTGCCTGATTAGGCCATTGAGTTGGGGATAAAGAAGAAGAATGAGAGAGGCTGACAATGAATTTAGCTTGGGACATATTAAGTTGAAGGCACCCACAACTGGATTGTATGATGGACAGATACAGCCACACATCATATATAGAGTGATACTAGAGACAAAAGTTGGAAATACCCAGCATGTTGACAGCATGCAAACCCAGTTAGATTTCTCCATAGAGTATAGAAATTAGGAAGAAAGCAAATGTGACAGTGCCATAAGGCACATATAAACAAAAGAAACATAAAAACGGGTGAAAAGCAATATACAATGCAAGACATGAACATGTGGGCTTTAGAGCCCGAATGCCTAAATTCAAGCCCGAGCTCAGCCACTTTCTAACCATGTGAACTTAGGCAAGACACTTAGCGTTTTGGGGTATCAGTTTCTTCATCTGTAAAATGAGATCTATCTCAGAGGATATAATGATGCTTTAAAAAATCGGTGCTTAAAAAAAATCAGTGTTTATAAAGCATTTTTAATACCACCTGCTCCTTAGTAAATTCAGCTTAGATTGGTTTTGTCATTAAATACAAAATGTTATAAATCCGTTAGCTCCAAATATTGATCTTCATTTTGCAATCCATTTTATTTCTTTACTGTGCTGATTTTTCTGAAGGCTATGGTTTATCTTATTCTATTCCTCATTCTAGTGGATCTTGAATGAAGTATTATTAAATTCACTACTCAGTTCATGCTAAAAGTAAATCTTAGGAAAGATAAAATCAATCCTTCACAAAACACTTAACCTTGTTAAAAAAAAAAAAAAACTCAGGAAAGTTCTCTCTGGGCATATCACAATGCAATCTTCTGTTTCTAAGAATTACATTGATAAACAATTTGCTCCAAAGAGATGTTTCTCCTGGTAGTTTTCTTCTATTACATTTTTTTTCACTTTTCAGGACTAAAATTGCAAAAGTGAGCTTTTCATGAATTCAGGCAGTTTCAGCCCTTAGAACAAACCACCTGTCTTTGGCATAGCCTTGACCATCACAGTCTCCTCTGTACCAGGAACTGTATTAGTTGCTAGATGTACATAATCTCTTATTCTTCACAACAGCCTCTTGAGTTGGCTATGATGTTGGCCATATAATTAATGAGGAAAAAATGTAAAAATCTCTGAATCAACTCAAGGCTAGGGAATTTGAGTCTATGTAATGAATCAAAACAGAGCATCATTCAATATGGGCCAGTTATCACTTTCCTCTATAATGTGTCATTGTTTTGAAGATGAAACACATATAGGATGACCTGATGGTGGCTCTCTACAGATTTCCTGCTCTGTGTCACCATTGAAAATGCTTGGGGGTCTGGATACCTATGGTTCATCTTCAGTGGCTTAGGATGACTAATGGACAATCATCTTTCCTTTCTGGTCAGCTCATAGAGCATCAGCCACCACCTCCTCTGGGCCATTAGAAGATTTAACACAAAGCTTTTGGGAGCTTCTTGTCTAAGCAGACTTGCAAGTTTAACATTCTTACTGGTCTTAAACTTGAAGCTAGTCATTTAACCCAGGACTATTGTCCTAAGAATATATCATAGTAATGGAGATAATAAGTAGAAGACATTTAGTGACAGGACTGTCCCTGTACAATGAAGGTGTCAGAATTAGCATTATAAAGGAGTTAGATAACTCATAAGATAAATAGATCATGCATAGGGCAAAAAAAATCATATTATGGTATAGAAATAGAATGCTTCCAGACACCAAAGCAAAAGAGATTTGTTTAGGTAATAAATAGACAAATTTCCTAGAATAAAGTGGTTATTAAGAGAAGTGATAAAGAACAACTGGGAAAGTTAGTGTGAGGCATGTTTGTGACAAAGCTTTCCAATGACACACTAAAAAGTTTGGGTATCATCCTATGGTTATCAAAATTGTCAATAAAAATGGTGATGTGAAAATACATTGTAGGGGGGTCGATCTGTCAGTAGTAGGTGCAGAGAATTAGTGATGTTGAGAAGGAGTTCAAATTATTATGAACTTCTAATTCTGAGGCAATATTTTGATATGTATTAAAATAAAGAGTGCCTATTTTGAAAGGTAGTTTCCAGTTCCTTCCAACAATAAAATTATAGGTCATGCATTGGCATAGCTTTTCTGTAAAGGCCATATAGTAAATATTTTCAAATTGTGGACATACAGTTCCTGTTACAACTACTCAACTTGCTGTGCAGCACAAAAGAACCCTTAAACAATATGTAAATGAATAAAAATGACTGTGTCCCAATAAACTTTATTTATGGGCTTTGAAATTTGAATTTCATATAATTTCACATGTTATAAAATATCATTCTTTTTTGACATTTTTCAACCATTTAAAAATGTACACCTGTGAGAACAGCATCCCATAGAGATGTTGAATCAATCACTACGTTGTACACCTGAAACTAACATTACGTGTCAACTATACTCAAATGAAAAACAAGATGTGAAAGCCATTCTTAGTTTGTGGGTTATATAAAATCAAGTGGTGAGCAAGAACTGGCCAGTAGACCAACCCCCGTTTGCCAACCCTTGGTTTATAGAATGTCAGTCAGAATTTCAATCCAGTATCATTTTTAAAAATTTTGAATTTTCCCCTGAGTTCTTCTATTGAAAATTTGGGAGGAAATAGTTGAAGTGAGTGAAGTGGTAAAAAGAAGAAACAGGCAATTAACTAGTTAGTAGGACTGACCTTATTAATCCCTGGTGTCATTGGGGCAACGTATGCCCCTATATGCTTCAATCCAACAATGGCTTGTCTGAAGCCTTCAGGAGAAGAGAAGGAAAATCAGTAAGTAAATACTACTTCATTCTGGACTCAGTGTTTTAGTGATCGTACAGAAAAGGCAAAATAGTGGATCTTTCTTTTATGCATATTGTTCATGATACCTTCAATGAAAGCAGGACCATGCAGTCCTTAAACAAATGATATGAGTGAAGGGAGCTTTAGTGGGAAACCGTATGAAGTTGGAGCAACTGTGAACAATGAATGTACATTTGGAGACACCAGCTAGGCTGGGGTGAGTAATGAGAATTAGCCTGGGAATAGAGTGTGGAGGAAGATGTGAAAGTCACATAAAGGAGAAGTTGACAGGACATTGCTAATTGAGATGTGGAAGATAAAAAAGAGAGAGGAGTCAGATATTAAGTGTTTCTTTTACTGGGTTCGTCACTGCCACTAAAATCGGGCAGCAGTGAGAGGCTAGGAGGGCACTGTAGGCAGCAGGAAATGATTTATTAAGTGTTGCTGATGAGAAAGTAAAGGAGAAGTGATGTCGTCATGATGAACCAAATAAGCAAATGGTCCCCTGCATCACACTATGTAGAACCCCCCTCATTTCTTCAAGGTAACTTCTCTTGATCACTTAGCGCTGGTCATGTCTTATAAAACAAGCATATCCAACTATATTTCACTATTTATCTTAAACCTTTTTCCCCCAGATATGTTTGCTATTCATATCACAAATATATGGGTACAACAAACACACAGTATGGCAAATAATTTACAGGGAGGTGCAAATAAAATAAGAGTTCAGAAAAGGGAAAGATTGCACAAATGTACATTTCTAAACTCTGAGCTTTTTTTTTTAAATTAGTTTCAGAGGAAGAATTTAGTGATTCATCAGTTGCATATAACACCCAGTGCTCATTGCATCACCTTAAACACCAGGGTTTATATAAAAATGAAGTGGCCAATAGACAGCTACCAACTGGTTTCCTTAATTATTTTTTTATTTTTTATTTTTTTTAAGATTTTATTTATTTATTCATGATAGACATAGAGAGAGAGAGAGAGAGAGAGAGAGAGAGAGAGACAGGCAGAGGGAAAAGCAGGCTCCACGCAGGAAGCCCTACACAGGACTCGATCCTAGGACTCCAGGATCACCCCTGGGCCAAAGGCAGGCACTGAAATGCTGAGCCACCCGGGAATCCCCTAATTATTTTTTTAAAGATTTTATTTATTTAATTCATGAGAAACACAGAGAGAGAAAGAGGCAGAGACACAGGCAGAGGGAGAAGCAGGCTCCATGCAGGGAGCCCGATGTGGGACTCGATCCTGGGTCTCCAGGATCACACCCTGGGCTGAAGGCGGCGCTAAACCACTGAGCCACCCAGGCTGCCCTTCCTTATTTATTAATTAGGAAATATTTAGAAGTCGAAAGTTTCCTGACTGATTTGCTTCTTGCAAATAATTTAATTTATGAAATAAAATTAACTGGAAGCATTCTTAGCCTATTTTACAATGAAAAAAGTAAGCCCCAGAAAGTTTTTTTAAGTTGCTTGCTCAAGATGCCACAACTAATCACAGGCTTCAGAATTAGAATTCTCTTTAATATGTTAGGAGGTACAAAAAAATACCAGGTTCTCAGAAGACATTAAGAAAAGGCATTAAGATCCTAATGTATGACCTGACTCCTTCAGACTCACCCCCAGACAAGCTGCTGCTGGTATATGACCGTGAATGTCATGCTACTTCTCTCTTCATTACAGAAAATTTACTGGAAATAAATTACTCAGCCAATATGTAACTAAATACATTAGAAATTTCTTTACTATTACAACAACTACAAATAGATATATCAAAGCTTCTTCAAATTATGGTAAAAAAAAGAAAATACAGAGAGTGCAAATCAGAATTAGACTAACAGTATTATTATCTTAATGTGTCATTTAAATACTACATTCCCATTCCAACTCTCTGGAATTTAAATTAGTCCAGATTAGATCTTCATATATTATGTATACCTTTTTATTAGTGCTAAAGTATACATTTTCATCCAAACAAGTATAATAATTTTGTCAGATTCCTATGAGAGCAATTTTACGTGTATAGCAAATTGTTATATTACAATTCATTTTTCGTATTTTTTTTTTCACAGACTCGAGTCAAAGGAGCCTTTCCTGTCTGTTGGGTGAGTATATGTCTAAAGATTTTAAATCACAGTTCTGTAATTGATTTTTAACAAGGTCTTCTGGGATGGTATTTGCAGTCACATAATTCCATTTTCAAAGTCATCCCATATCATTGGATGCGTTATATCCTCAGCAGCATTGCTGTCTGTGTTTTATAAAGACTTCACCAAAATGTTCACCAAGCTATTTGATGACCTTGGAAATTCAGCAGATGAATGAATGCATACAACAGCCCGTATCCTCTACAAAAGCCAAATGAGGCATACAAGTAATTTTCTATATTCTCACCCTGTAAGGTTAATGCTCCGATTGGTTTTACTAATTCCTCTGTACTGCAACTTCACTATTCTTAGGCTCTAGTAATTTTTTTTCCTTTTTTACTGTTTCTCTTGATCTAACCTAGTATTTCTTCTCCCCTTTTTCCTAAAACTTCAAAATCTTTGTCTGTCTCTTTCTCCTTTTCTCTCATTTCACTTTTATTTCTCCACTCCACTCACATTGATCACTCTTCTGAATGTAGAGCTGAGAGCCATGAAGCTAACTGAGTAAAACCAACACCTGCCTCCTCTGGTAGCATTCAGAGTCACAATACATGTTCTAATAATAATATATTGTTGACAAGAATAGACTTGTACTATTTTCAGGTATTTTGCTAATTAAGAGTCAGCAAAGCTGTTTTTATTGATCTTACCAAATAATCCTTTGACTAATATATTAAAATGTCTCGTTAGGGCACTTTTGCATACTGAGCATTATGGTTGATGTCACAAAGTTTCAAAAAGTGCCGGAAGATACTGTAGCTTAAAGGCAATCATTCCATAGTTGATGGGGGGGAAAAATCACATATAGGCAACCATGATATCCATGGTTAATGACCAGAAACATGGGGGGGTAGATTTTTAAATGATCACATTAGTTTTCTTCTATGACTTTTATTCACAATTCTTGAATATTTCTGTCACTCCTTGAGCAATATGGTTCCCTTCCCACTTTCTACTCCTCATAAAAGCATTTGAGAAAGCTATTTGAATCATGAGAATCAAAATAATTGTTAGGGATGCTGGGAGAGAAAATGGAGTAGATGCATTTATTAGAGGATTTTATGAAAAAAATTAAAGGTCAAGTTGATCTTGTCCAAAAAAAATCGTTAGAGCATGCTTCTTTCCTTCATTGATCATCAGCTCCTATTGTTAAAAACCTTTAAGCCTGAAGAGATCTTTTATTTTGAATGCATATGTGTCCTGCCCTCAAGTCAAGAGGGCTGAAATAGCTTCTCTTCATGCCTCACTTAATGCAGTTTCTCTGCAGTATTTCCTGTTCTCCCAACTTCTTTGAGATAGAATTCATTTTTTACTTTGTACCTCTCTTTTACAAGGGCAGACTCTAAGTAATCTTTGTTTTAAACTTATCAGGATCTTAAAACTCTGTATTAGAGACCTGCAAAAAGTTTTAAAAAAAGAATGACATATAGCTCTGCAAAAGCCTGAAATGGGAAAACTGGCATGGCAGTAGGAAAATACCACCGTCCCTTAAATAGGTATTAAAAGTTAAGTGGGATAAAACATGCAACCCAAATGGTTCTGTAGACGGATACTTTATTATACAGTTGCACTTCATCATTTTCCTCCAAGAAAATTATTTTAAATAAAATTGTCTAAAGTTTGGATGAGTCTCTCTCCTGACCTTGAGAGTGAACATAATGGACACATATGAGACTATCGGGCAAAGGTAGTCTAATATAGAGAACTATTATTCAAATTTGTGACTTTTAATTCTGTCGCTTAAAAGGAATTAATGCATGGTATATAGTCTTTGGTATGAGTTGACCTGTCAGTCCATAACACTGAGTTTTTCTAGGACCCTGCACACCTCACATTATAACCTTAATTCTGCGCGCAATAAAAAATCATATTAATGAGTAGTAGATCAATTCTAAATATTGCATACTTCAGTCCATTCCCTGCCACTGTCTTAAAGCACTTGTTAATATGTACTTCTAGAAGTTGCTTTTGCCTTTGTAGGCTCAGACACTTACAAGCTATGTGTATTGGTTTAGGCAATTACTTGAACCCTCAAGCTTTGGGTTCTTATTTGTGATATGGAGATTAAATTAGATAAATTAGGGGCGCCTGGGTGGCTCAGTCAGTTAAGGTCTGCCTTTGGCTCAGGTCATGATCCTAAGGTCCTGGGATCAACCCCCACATCAGGCTCCCTGCTCAGCAGGGTGTCTGCTTCTCCCTCAACCCCCCCTCCTCCCCATGTGCATGTGCATCAGTGCTCTCTCTCTTTCTCAAATAAATAAATAAAATCTCTTAAAAATAAATAAGAAAATTTAGATCAAGTATCTAGGACTGTCTTTGGTACATAATTGCTTGTCAGTGTTAGCTTTTATTACAGATATGGAAGGTACAGTCACTTATAACACTCCAAAGAGTCAATCAGAGCTCTGAAGTAGTTCAGAGAATGAAACTCCACTTTAACTCCACTTTAACAGGGCCTTCTTTGAGTTACACATGGAAACTAAAAGCTGTTTTCATAATGGAGAGAAAAAAAACAAAAATTGTGAATGGAATAAGCTATCAAACAAAGATGAGTACAGATAATTGTTTTGTATTTTAATGATGAAAACTTATAATTGTCATTAAAAATTTTTAATGGAAAGAAATATTGAAAAAATTTAAATATATATCTCTTCTTAAAATACATTAGGGATCAAAATTCTTCCTTTCATAAATGTGCTATACTAATTCATTATGATATAAAAATGTTAAATGTCACAACATAAATTCAATCTGAATATACAAGTGGAAAAATCTGTCACAAAGTTATAACATAGGAAATAATTGCTTATGGAAAAAGATTAGGGAATTGTAAAAGGAAGTTAAGTGAAACCTCAGATCTCAGAACTTCAACCGAAGATTGATATGAAAGGAGCTTTCTTTCATACACACCAGTAAATGATTAATAAAATAATGTCATTAGGAAAAACAAAAAACAAAAAAACCCAAACCTTAACCTAGAGTGAGGCAGGAAGGCTTATCCCAGAGTCTGATTCTGTTTACCCAGGGTTAGGCCAATAAATACAGTGTTTTCCAAGGCTGTTGAGCCAAGCCTAGAAACCACTGTCTACATCATGGTTGCATTCTCCTGACTCCTTCTCTTACAGACATACACAGTTTGTTCTCACAGATATCTTCAGTCCTTAGAATGTTTGCAGAAAATCTTTGAAATATAACTTCCCACAGTCTTTCCCTGTTTGGGATGCATATGGTGGAGGTAGACACATTGATCTAGAACTGTCTTGAGGTTCACTCATCAGAGACCAGGATACATGTAAAGAGACCAGATGATATGCCATGGAAGCCTCCGTGGTACACAAGGAGCTCACTACCTATGCTCAGGTGCATCAAGACTCCTTCTGATGTTTTCCCAGACCCAAGGCTAGAAATTAATTAAATATTTACATTATTAAACAATATAATGTAAATATTTAATAAATACTCTATTAAATGTTGAATAAAGTGTTTTATATTTTGCATTATAAATGTATATGTAATAACATACTTATTACATACATTACATTTATTAAATATATGATACAAAAATATTTGTACTTTAAGTAAAATAAATTTAAATAATAGATTTAAAAATTAAAATTCTTTCCCCTCTCACTCACCCAACAGTAAAACACATCAGTTAAGCAAACTTGTTTTTTAGCGTGGAGCTTAGGCTTGCATGTTGCAAGAATACTAAGTGTGTGATAGTCTACTCACTCGCGAAACGTTCCATTTTAGAGCAATTAAGAAAACTCTTCTGACAAATGTTTCCTTTTATGTGGCATCAGATAGAGTCTGATTTTGGAAATAAGCTGGGAGAAAACAGGCATCAAGTTTGCATTTAAGAAAGTGAACAAGAACCAAGTGATCATCTCAATTAAGATTCTAAGATACAAATCTTAGTTTAAAACCAGTCCTGCCTTGAAAAAGCTTTTACAGCTTTTTAATGAGAAATACAGATGAGAGGAAAGGAAGCTCCTGTTCTTTGACGTTTAAGATTCACAGCATAAAAGGGCATGTCAAGACAATGCATGAGTTCTCTTCAAGTACAAGTGACTGTTGACACTTTGCAGACACTGAGCCACTTTAAAAATATACCCAAGGCACTAAATGAAATTTTCCATGTGAATTATTTCTTCTTACTTCTTCAGCATGAAGTTGACCTTTTAAAAGACTTTAAATATGAGTCAGTTGTATTTTGGAATCGAAATTTTGGTTCATACCAGTATTTCAGCTGATGAATTTTTGCACGAGTAGCTTTATTATAAGAAGGATTATTTATCACATGGGTAAAAAAAATTGTTCAGACTTTTTTCACTGTATTTGGATAATTTAAGTAACTAAGGGGTGCCTGGGTGACTTAGTTGGTTAATAACGTGTCTAACTCTTGATTTCAGCTCAGGTCATGATCTCAGGGTCCAAAGATCAAACCCACATTGGGCTCCACACTCAACCAGGAGTCTGCTTGAGCTCTCTCTCTCACTCTCACTCTGCCCCTCCCCTTGCTCAATAAATAAATAAATAAATAAATAAATAAATAAATAAATAAATGAAATAATTTTAAGATAATACTGATAAACCTCAGAATTATTATTTCTCAAGCTTGTTTGAGAGACATTCAAAACAAATCAAGGATAAAAATAGAAGAATTACTATATTTATCTCTATCAAGGCTCAATGAGTGAGCTAAGCATGGCCCAGGCAAGCCTGGATCTCCTGTATCCCCTAAGACACCGTGGACCCATTCTACTAAGTCCAAACAAGAGGGAATGAACACTGCCAGGACAGCAAAACTCACTTTACATCTAAAACTGGTCTTCACATAATTGCTAGTAGCTATATTTTTAAAAATAATTTTGCTTGAGAGATATTTTCCCCTTTTATTTCCAGTCTTCTAACTGAATTTGGATCTTCAATATACTTCTGCTGTTGGTATGAAGACA